ACTTATTAAAAAATATAAATCCTATCAATTTTAAATTTTTTCATTTAAAATTGAAATAAAATAAATAATTAGATACTATTGCCTATTAATTAAATTAATGAAGTTCATATTCTTTTTATAGAAATATTTACATACACAGCTTTTTCAAGAATGACTAATTGCTTTTATACTTTTTATCACCACGTAATTTTATTAATTTTGTTTATAATTTACAGAAAGGCAGACAATGTAGCTATTATTTCATGAATAAATTAGATATTCAAAAAATGTTGGAAGAAGAAGATCAATTACGGATGTAGTAACTTTCTTTAAATATAGATTAAATAATAATTCTATGTATAGCATACAAGTATGAAATTAATTAGAGCTTAAGTAAAAAAAAAAAAACACTTAATTGAATGGATTGATATAGAACTTTAACTTATTTGGAAAATTAAACCACTTAAGTCTTAAAAATACAATTAAATAATAAAATCAAACATTTATTTGAAAGGAAAATATTACAAGTTTTTTTTCATATCAAAAACAAATTATTATTTTAAACTAAAACTAAATTTTAGTAATAATTGTTTAATAAAAATATTTTATTTTTAAATTTTATAAAAACAGTATTATTAATATTTTAAATTATTCAATAATCTTCTAATGTTAGAATAATAAGTAAACCAAAGAATTTAAAGAATTTAAATAATTTAAATAGATAATTTGTTGTAAAAACCACTATTTGTGATAAAATAAACATTTATTGCCTTATTTGAGTTTTGATAGGATATACTCATTACTTTCTACAGTATGAATAATTGGTTGTAGAATTTATTTTGATATTATCATTTTCACCGATGATTTATTAATATAAATTAATATACAGTTTGATTTACCAAGCATACTTTCTAAATTTTTCCTTTAATAATGCATATATTTTAATTCTAAGTTTTAGAGTTTTTATGTATGTTTAAGAATCGTATTTTTAAATACTTTGATTTTTAATATAATTTAAGGTGTATTGAATAACTTATAAACTTATTTTTTAAATAAGAACCATATACTTTTTACTATAAATTGTTATGATGTTCGTACAAGTAGTTGTTTCTGAGTTATCGAACTTAAAATACTGAGAATAATATTTTTATTCATAAAAATAGATTTAGAAGATTGTAGGCTAAGATGATTTATAATAAATAAACTTATTATATCTATTTTATATTTGATATAAAATCATTAAAAAAGATCTATTATCCTTAGTACATATCGTTTAATAATTCAGAAGTCGTTCATTAAAATTTTGATTTAATATATGAATCAATATTTAAAAAAAATTATCTAGTTATTAATTTAAAATAAAAAAAAGTTAATTTTCTTTTGAAAAAGAAAGTTTGTATCACCAAAAGGTACTCTTTAAATGGAATAAAAATTTTAAATATGTAATTGAAAATGAGGCCATAAAGGCTTTACATATACTTGAAAATTTCAAAATTAAAGATCTGATTAAATATATTATTTAAGTATAAAAAAGGATGGTATGATGGATGAATTACCCTGAACTGTGGTAAATCATAATTAAATTGATTTCATAAAATATATATTTTGTTATTTTTGGTAATAATAAATCAACAATGAACATCTTTAAGGATTGTTCATTACACTATTCCATTTATAGTAAAGGGAGAATTTATATTAAAACAGATTTATGAACATTGTGTTATATAAAATTGCCAATTCAGTAAAATAATTATTTATTTGTACATTTAAATTAAAATATTGACATAAAAACTAAAGAAACTATAATTCTTTTAATTACATCTGAGAATTTAGACACATTTAACATAATTCAATCAAGCATATCTAACAATTTTATTGGTAATTTCTTCAAGTGGTTTAAGTGAAATTGGTAATTATGTGATTTACGTAAGACACTTCATTAGGAAATTACGATCTAACCTATGTAACAGAGTTAAAAGAATGAATTCACATAAAATAGTGTAGCGTCACATATCATTATTTATATAAAATAATAAAGAAAAGTAAACAATAAATTAATTTTAAAACAAAAAGTGTTGAAAACTAATGGACTGTTTTCAATAAAAATTATATCAATAGATTCCTTGAGATTCAAAAAATGACTATTGCTTATATTTTAATTCTTTAAGTTGCTTTAAGGTGGCTTACACCTTAATATTGAAACATTGAATATTTTTTTTGTATATTTAAATTGTTATCATTAGCTATAGATTAAATAACCTGAAACCTATAAATTATAATGATATAACTTTTATAATTAGTAGAAATAGGCATAACATTTATTTATTAATATATACATATATAAAAACAAAAACAAATCTTAAAATCAAATATTATGAGACAATAAATTTCAATGATCGATTATTATTTTTAAGACATGCTTTTTAAATTCCATACATGGTTTTGATGTAAACACATATAATTGATGATAACCAATAAAAATATTGGATTCACATCTATTTTTCAGCAATCATTGAATTTGTCTCCAGTTTATTTTTTTTTCTGTTTATGTCAAAAATATTTTCAGAATTAAGAAGTGAAAAATCATAAAATTAATTATCGTAGTTTGTATTATAAATTTCAGTTGAATCAAAACGGAAAAGTTGGAAAAATTAATTTTAACCCTTGTAAAGTCAGTTAACATATTTAGTATAAAATGAACCAAAAAAATATATGATCTATCCAACAAAATCCCACAAATCGCAATAACAGTTTTGAATTGTTATGGCCATTGATGTTAATTTATTGTCAATTTTGAAATATTGATGATAACTTTTTAACAAACATTCAAAAAACTGTAAAAGATTCAGACAATGTCCAAAAAATAATCAATTAAATTGTTGGTAAGACTTAAATTAATTCTGTTACATGTGTTCTACTGCATTCTAATTCGTCAACAATTGTATTCAATTATAAATTGTAATATAATTAAAATAATACGCTATAATTTTATTTTAATTAATTTAAATTGATTCATTTATATTGTATTTTGATATATTAAGTATATTTTAAATGTATTATAAAAGAAAAATATCATACTTGTGAGAAAATAATTCTATCGGAAAATGGATTCATGACAGTGATTGATGTACGTGATTTGTCTATCTATAACGCCGCGTGATTAAAATATTGTATTATTGAAACGCATCGTATACGTCTTATAAAATATCGAGCAATTAACCCAATGTTGATGGTGACCGTAATAGCTGTTGGTAATAAACAAACCAAAAAACAAAATCACAAAATGTATTTATAAATTATAAATTATAGCCCCTGTATGTGAGCTTATTTTATGTATATAGTGACTCAAATAAATCAAGCTTTAATAGTAATTAACTTGTAGATTCCACTAATCTAACTTATTAGTTATACTTTAAAAATGCATAGAGTGAGTGAAAACGTATATTACTTGGTTATTGAGTACATTTTATTGGTTTTGTAATATTATTGAATATTACATGATATAACATTTTATAATATAAAGCAATACAAGAATGTTTATGTTAAAAATGTTACAGTAAATTATTCGATGTTTAGGTGTAATAATATAATTTACGTATACTTGCAATATTTTAACAATGTGTTTTAGAAAGTTCATCTTGATAAAAGCATTTATGTAAATACTTTGATATTGAATAAGGTATGTTTTTAATAGAATAATAATTAGAAAATAAGAATTTTTGATATGAATTATTAAACAAGCATCAAGTTTCAATACTATTTGTTAAAATAATTAAGTTTTTAGAGTTAACTCGTATAAAATAAAGTATAGAGTTTAATTTTTATATAAAATAATGCACGTTAATCAAAACGCACGCAAACGTAAATTTTTAAAATTCGATTTAAATACATCATTAAAGTAAATGTATTTCTATAAACATTAAGCCTGAATATGTTACGGAGTTATCTTTTACATATAATATTGATAAAAATGAAATTATTACAATGGAAAATGTAATGGCTTTGTAGCTATTTGAATTTTTTTAATTTTCTATTATAGAACAGTGACTTGATGTTGTTATAAGACTCTTTTAGCATTTTTTATTCCTGTTCCAAATATTATGAAATTTATCATGATTTAAATGCATAAATAGTCATATATAATAAGTTAATATTTTATGATAGTTTATTATTTTATACTACTGTTTATACCACATAAGTAATAATATTTTTATTTTGAAAACATGTTTATATTTTATTTGTGATTAGTGTTCTATTATTCGAATATAATATTATATTAATTTTGAGTAAAAGAGTACACGAGAATCGCTTTAAATGAATAAACATGTTTACAATATTGTATTTTGTACATACAAAGAAAAAAATAATAATAAGGGATGTTATGTTAGCGATTATAAATTTGTAGACGATACGTTTTCTGAGTATTGTTTGATTCTAATTAAATTGTTCCTGACTCGATAAAAAATTAGTAAAAAAAGGTTTCTATATTCATTAAAATATCGTTAAAATACGTTTTATATTTATTTGTTTTTTAAATTCGATATTATTAACTATTTTTACCAAAAAAAAAAAAAAGATGTGCTATACATAAAAAATAAATATAAAACCAAGGACCGCTTTTTCGTAATCATGCTATATATTAGTCTTGTTTGTAATTTCGCTCCGTTGATTCCAAGAGAACATTTTTATGTATTTTATACATTTTTGCATGAACATAATAATATTTTAATATTCTTTTGGTTGTATGATTTTTCGATTACTCTCTCAATCATTCTCACCTACTGAAGTGGCGGATTTGGCTTGTCTTATAAACGAATAAATACCGTTACAAGAAACTGTGTCTACTAAGTCGGATGAAAAGATAATTATATTTAAAAAAAACCTACTGAAAATCGTAAAACTGACTACGGTGTACAAGATGAGTCATATAATAAGTAGGTAGTGTATATTCTAGCTCGACTGAGAACCATCATTAATATTGTGTACTTACGGTGCACAACAACAGCATTGTTTATCGAGCCGTGCTGGCGACGGATTCTATGACGTACTGACGTGTGTTTGGTATTGTGAAAACGACATACACAACTTAAATTTATTATTATGCAGTGTAATAAAATGTAATTTATATTTATATTTTTTTAGTGTTAAGTTATTTGTACAGATTTCCGATGATTTTCGATACGACTAATCGTTCGGATTTCACGTGGCCTTTCCTGGCGGAGAGACAACAGATTTTCGACTGGAACCGATACGAATTCAAAGCCGGCGTGGAACATACAAATTTTTTGGCACCACAGTCGTTTTGTAACGTGGAGACACTCCAGCCGATACCGTATGCAAAAAGGTTGCGTTTTGATTTTGATTGTCATCCGAAGCCCATTTTGAACAATCAGCGTCCCACCAGTCATTATCCCACTGAGGTATGCGAAACATATAATAATTATAATAATACGAGGAACGTATTTGTCTGGTAAATTACTTGACTGGAATGCACTTACTACGTACTACTGTCGTATAATTATTGGAGTTAGGTACTTAATTATTAATTGTCTATTTTGGTTATTCAATACCACCGATAATACTTTATTTAATATCTTTTTGTTTTTTTCCTATTTTATCTTACGATTATTAAGAAATTATTAGGTTTTGTCTGATAGCTCACGTCTCCTTAGTGTCCGTATCTATTTTATCTATCTATACATACTTATCTATTTATCTAACCTACACGATAACTATAGATCCAATCATATTATATTATTTTCTTAGTTTTCTATTTATCGTCTTACAGTATATAGCCAATTGGGTTTCTTTAATTTGTAAATTAACTCTTTTTCTAATTAAATTCCTCAAGTGTTAATTTTACTTTTTACACAAGCCATAATATTTGATTATATAAATTTACACTATTTTTAAGTCCTAATTACAATTAATTTCATACTGTCTGGTTCCATTAAATTATGATTCAGAAATGAATCTGGTCCACATTTCCTGACGTGGTTTTTCATAAATAATAAGTGTGATTAGTTATAGCCTATAGGGCTGTAATTAAATGAATACAAATTTATTTTTTTGGCTTAGACATATATTTTTTCTTACAAAGATTAATTATTGTAAGACTAAATTCAAATTCAAAACTTTTATTTTGCATTCTTATTGCGTATTTTGAAATAGGTTATTTTTTTATCAAATATTTTAAAGAAATATTTATGCAAAATGATTTCTTAAAATTTTTTTTTTTAGTAATTTAAAAATGAATAATTTTAGAAACTTGAAATATTTAGTATATACTTAAATTAAAATTTTATAAAAACGATGTCATTTTAAAAATATTTTGGACTTTTAGTTAATTCTATATATATAATTATATTTGAATTTTTTGATTTTTTTATTAATGTTTAACGGTAATTTAAAAAGCTTTGTAAATTTTATTCAATGTGTTTCCTCATTAGTCAGTACATACAATTCATAGCCTTATTAATAATTAAACTAATTAGTTTTAATTCTTGCGTTAGAGCACTTTAAATATTGAGTTGCAGTATTGTCTTAGACTTCTCTTTAATAGTTTTCATTTAAATAGCATATTAAGTTGCAGCGAGGACTATATCTGATTTTCATGATTGATTCAAATAATACGTTAGTATAATATATCTGAAATGGTAGCTGTGAAAGCTTTATGTGGTTAGTGGGTATACACATTAACTTAAAATATGTGAATTTTATATACTGAATCAATATTATATAACTAATGTCTTTTGGTTATTGATATCCGAACTTATATTCTCAATAAATTATGATTAGTGTAATAGCTGGTTATATTATTTGTATCTACGTATATATTTTTAATGAATAAGTTAATTTACTTGGGTATTAATTTAAAGAAAATATAGTTATTTAAAATTATAAATGTTGTACTACTATTACTATGTTATTTTGTATGAAATAAGGTTTATTATATTATGAATTTTACTATATGCTTTGAAATTTTCCCATGTAGATTAATTTTAAGATATTATCTATTTATTCTATGAACTTATTCATCTTTTAATTTTAACCCATTTTTTCTCTTTTTTTTTTTTTGAGACAAGTTTTAAGCAGTTTAATTTTTTCAGTGAGTTTAGAAACTTTTATTTTACAATTTAGAAAAGTTATAAATTACGATTATTTTCTTAAAAACCATTGAGTAAATAGAGATAACGTATTGTTATTTGATTTTATTTTTAAAAATCCGTGACAATTCCATTGAGGTTCAATTATAGAGTTATAGTCTGCAGATTAAGAAATTGAATGATTTTGTCGCGTGAGACAGACAGATAAAACAAGATATATCGCACGGTCTAAAGTAATTTTCGATATTATATTCTTCGTAATAGTTGGGTCATATAGTGCATTATTTACTGTGATTACATTTTTATTGGATTTGGCTGTAAATTATTTGAGGGAATGGAATTCACTTCGAATTATTAACTTTATGGTTTCTTTAACTGTATCTTTCTTGTTGTTTTAAATTAATGTAACCATAAATAAACACGGAGTGTTATAAATTAAATAAATTTCATAATTTCATCGAATTTCGCAGATAATTTATTGTATATTAATAATATTATACCATGAAAATTAAAATATCCGGCCTAAGAAAGTTAATAAGTAATATATAAGGGTCTTTTGAAGTCTCCAAATTTCTAAATTCAGTGCCGAATATTATAATATATGATTATTATATAATATTACAACGTATTTTAATGTAATATGACCCATATTATATATGTTAAGGTAGGTTCTAAGGACGTAATTGTAATTTTTTCGTTTTACTATATATCATTTAAAAATACATAGGTAGTTTAAATGAAATTATTTTTTACTATTCCATTTTATAGTACACTTTTGAATTTTTGTATCATCTATTCGAGGATGATATATGCAATTTTTCAGAATTGAACAGGTGGGTATATATAGGTACATTACATTAAATCAAGTATGGAAAAATAATTTACTTCAAAATGAATCTGTTGAGAAAACTCAATAATTCTTAAGTATGATGTATATATGTTATTTATAATATTTAACTATATAATATCTATTATTTTTATTCTTGGAGAAATAACGAAATCTGTTATGGTTAAGATTATTAGGAAAATTTGGGTTTTATTCATTAAGTAAATATATTTACTTACCTAAACTAACTTTACGTATACAGCGTATATTATTTATTGCATAAAGTAACATTTTATATCATTTTTTTCAATGTATAAATTATAAACGGCTATCTAAAAAACGCACTGATTCTAAATCTGTACCTACAAGATGAGTCTGAATTGGCATTGCGCGAGTATAGTCCTAATAATAGATATGTAGCCCACAAAATGTTATTAGATGATCATTTAAACAAGAAAGAATATATGAGATAGTAGTGAAACAATTGTCTTAGACTCCATAGACTCTTACTGTACTTAACCTATCTACCCAAAGGAGAAAAATATATTTAAGTAAAAATAAACATATTTTAGTTGCATCTATTTTATATTTATATAAATGCGTTTTTGTGATGTATTATATCATGAAATAATAAGATATTATACCGTTTTTGCATAGGATTCAATCTTTATCTGCATAGTTATTTATTCTTGCGCTAACCTGTACTATGTAATGTTGTATGTACGTATATATAATATTATAATACCTATGCGGAGATCAGTCTAAATTCAAAACATACAAAAGATCGTATGTATAATGCGTATACAAAATATAATATAATATATTATCTAGACGTTGTAAATGGTAGTTTATAAATGTGTACGATTTTACAGAAAGTGATTGAATACGATAAAGAGAAAGCAGATGCAAGATCGAATATCCTGAAGACGAGACCCAGAGTTTTCAAGTGTCCTCAGATCAGTCTCGATGATGTATCAACCGACAGGCGAGACATGATTTGCACTTTCGTGTATAGCACTTCAAAAACAATGAGTGAACTAACTTCTGGTGTGCCAGAGGGTCATCCGATTCCCGTCGACATAACGTCAAAACCATTCGCGGACCCGGTAAAATAATTAAGTTTCTTCCCCTTCGTCACCACAATAAAATTAATAATAATTATTATAATTTACGTCATCGTGTATGTTGGCAATAATTAATTGACACTATATGTAGGTTTACGATTTACCTACATATCTACTAAACCGTAAGTACCTGCACAGATTCATAATATTGTACTGTATGTGTATTGTAAACAAATATTATTAAAATGGACGTTTTACTCGCATATTGATCAAGTGGTCATCAGGTAATACATTCGGGGTATGATAGACTTTAAAATGGAAAGAAAAAAAATCTGCTCATGCATCGTCTGCAGCGATACCATCATGCCGTAGCTATAATGAAACATATCTAATGTTATGTACTATCGAATAAAATAGCTGCACGTCAACCCTCCATTGGAACTTACGTTAGCCGCGGCGGGTTTAATCAAATCGATTAATTCTCAGCAAAATGCGTCGAAATAATTTCATCTCTCTGCACATTTTTCCCTACCGCTCCTATACATTTTAAATTATTACTGTGATAACACTTTAGATTGTATTGGAATTTAAAACGGGAAATAATAAGGTCGGTTGTTCTTATTATAAATCAAAAGTTAATTTAGTTTTTAAAATGTGTATGCTGAAGAGAGAAATATGTTTTCCCGAGTATGAATCTTGTAGTGCGTATAATTTATATAAATATATAATATAATCTATGTATATTATAAAAGAACTTATCTATGAAATAACGAGAACAATTTGCAATTAGCAACAATATAATAAATTATTAATTTTCATAAACTTCTTAAAAATGATAAAAAACTGTCGTTCGCATAATAAATCATAGTCCAATTTAATATTAATATTCATGATTGAACATTATATTATGAGTATTTTTTTTAAATTAATTTACTTTTAAATAATAATAATATATATATCGTGCAATATTATTTTGATATCATATAAATTTATAATTTTTACTTAAATAGAGGGCTTATTTACTCTAAATGTTTGATTCATCTAGTTCTATACTGTACTTTTTTTAATGAATAAATAATATCGTGTGTATAGTTTTTATACAAAACATTTTATTTGTTGTGTGTTAAGGGCAAATTTCAAAAACAGTCATTATACAAAACCATAAATCCTGCTAAAAATTGGCGTCGTGTCAGCATTGAATGGGATGAATCGCAGAAACGGATTTTCGGCGGTCGATTTATAAACTGATATTTACATTAAATTATACATAAATTGCTAGAAAATTTGTTTTATCAAAATGTGGTGTATTTATTTAATAAATTAAATAATGTATGGTTTAGATTTTTCGAAAACGTACAAAAAAAAAACTTATCAACTTTATTTTACTAATATGTATTATAATTTCGCAAATCTGAACCAGAATAAAAAATATTTCTAAAAAATGTTTGAGTTGACACACTTATTGTATAAATAAATTTGAAAAAAAAAACACCACATACTTATCTATCCGGGGAATTAGAACTTCTTTATCTTTGTATATGCGTACTGATATTATTGACTTACTAAGTCTGTGAGCCACGGAGTGTAAAATCACAATTCCCTACGTATATAACATATACGCTAACCTTTATTTATCATAAATTACTCATGAGAGTAAAATTAGTCAGTTTTGCGTTGCTGCAGCACATGGTTAAGTATTCTCCATGTAAAATATTAAATTGTATTCGTCATTAATTTATTTTAATAATTAACGCAGTTAACCGTTATGTAATAATTTTGCATACGCAAAGGCCGACATTAATTTGAATTTTTAGAAGAGGGGGGCTAAAGTAATTCAAAGTAAAGTGACCCGTAGGATAACATTTTTAATAAAGTTTCAATTTTGACTTAGACCCTCCATTAACTCCATTATAATATGTAATATTATGATTGTATAATAAAGAATACGTCACACGTGTAGATAACATGCACACACACATATATATTTATATATTAATTCATTCAATAACTTTTGATAGGACTGTTAACTGGATGAAATTGATATTTTATCGAAAAGAATTATATATTAATTGTCAAAATAACAGCTTTATTTATTTTCAACGTTTAGCGTTGTATTGTTTTAAAATCAACTATGAGTTTATCTATGTTTTCATGTGGATGGTGGATCAAATCCTTGTATCCAATTATAAATACATGCCACTAGCATTTGGTGTGTTTGAAATTAGTATACTACACTATACAGCCTTAAGGTTTATTTAGCGTACCCACCAGAGTGAATTACAATTCTCGATTTATATTTTATTTAATATTGGTTATTAGATAGTGAGTTATTTACTTATTAGCATTTCTCATAATATAATGTATCTTTTGAATTGATTTAATTTTGAAACATTTAAATAACTTTGATGCAGATAATTAGTGTTGTGCAAATATTTATAGTTTAATTATAATTCGCCGAATATACACGTAATAAGTATTTATAGGTACCGTGTTTGCCATTACTTATAACTATTTATAAACGCGTTATACCTGTAAGCAATACCATCATTGAGTTAAATTAGATAATTTTAATCAATTAATTCATATTGCATATTTTAATTTATAAATATTGCGAGTAATTAGTATTTGGCACCAGTTACATCAAAATTTGAATATTGGTATATTGTTATGATGATTATCAATATTGATATAAGCTCGAAACACGCATATTTTACTATTTTGGATCAAAGTTCCTGGCTTTGTTAGTATTTGGCAAATTATGTGAATACATTATTACGAAACTATATTGTGTAAATGTGTAATGTGAGTATACACAAACATAATATACATAAAACCACTATATCGTGTTGCAGTGTCGTCGAAGTCAAGTCAATTTTTACAGGTATAGCAAAGTATACATTTAGTAGTATATTTTTCTTAAAACTTTAAGTAAACGAGGAAATTAATTAAATTCGTTTCAACTTAACTAATTAAAACATGTCCACTTTGTTTCACATACCTAAACATGACAAAATCTTAGCATTTAATATTGTTTGTTTAGATTTTTAAGGGTTTTACAAAATGTAACATGCCTCTTCACTTTAAAAATGGGTTTAATAGTTTAGAATATTGTTTATGTAATATGAATAATATGATTCTTGAAATATAAGACTGTTTTAAGATTTATGTTTTTGTAGTAAAAAAAAATCTTTCTCTAAAGTATTAGTTAATACACCGCGTTATATTGTGATGAGTGATGACAAGTATTTATACGAAATCTACTATAAATTCAACGTTTAATGTTTTAGTTGATGACTGTTGCTGAAAGTAATAGTAGTTCTTCAATTAGTTTTAGATTCTGAGCAGAATGATGAAAATGTATCGATTTTATAATAGTTTTATTTATTTTCACAGATTATCTTGTAGTAAACAATTAACATTTTAAATTTATAATAGTTATGGTTAGAAAATTTAATACAAGGGTTTTTTATAAATTATATGTTTTAAACGAAAAATAATAGTTAGTTATTTTGTTGAAGCTTATAAAATAATGTTCATGAGTTTTGATTGCTATACGACGAACCTATTCAAAAAATTGTACTATATATATCTGAATAATTCATAAAGTATAAACAATTGTACAATGTATATATAATTTATAATTTAAGTAGATTTAATTATCTTAAAATAATGAATAATAATAAACAGTGCATAATTTTATGATTTTATAAGCTTAAATCTAAATTTTCTAAACATTCAATATCTATAATGGTTAAATTAAAGATGCTCTCATACTTTCTATTGAATATTGTCTCAGGGTAGTCTGTATGGTGTGCGATAAACAAAATCATATTTTGGTTTGGGTGACCGTTGTAACTGCAGCTTGGATTAGGAACAATGACCCATTTATATATCTGTTTTAAATCTGGGTTCTGTATACATTAATAGCGGTCATTAATAATAATCATAATGTCACCTCTATGAAATATTTTCATGATAATTATTATAATATAATGTATGCGATTTATTGTTGACAAAAATTAGTTTAACCTTCAACCAAATGTATTCTACTATTTACTAATAGAAAAATAAATAACTTGTATTATTTACAAATATTGGTTGACAGACGGTTTTAATTGATTTTATTGAATTCAACTTTTAAATTTAATTCATCCATTTATAAGTATAACTAGTAGTGATCTTCTCAATATCGAAGTACATTCAATACCTATACAGCAGAGCAGAATTCCTGGTTTTATTATGTCGTAAAATTTATATAATGGAACTCGATCTTCAAAAAAGAAAACGTGTAAATCATATTTTTCTAAGAAAGCTGGTAATATAATTAGAATATTTTGATTAAAATAAACACAAAACAATAAGTGCACGGCTTATTTCAAGTATATAAAAAAGATCTGTCAGTTAAATTTAATGGTTAGCTGAACATATTATTCAGATCTTCGAAATAAGAATATACATACTCATAAGAACATAAAAGTAAGAATCAATCTTCTAGAAAATAATAAAAAAAAAATTGTATTTAAGTAGGTCCAACTACCGTAATTAACTAATCAACACCATTCAAATTCAATAAATGTATTTAATAAAAAATAATATTCCGACTTGATGTCAAACATAACATAAAACATTACACTGAGGATTAGAACGATTCCGTGAAAATTGTATCACGGTAAACGGTAAATTAAATATTTACAATAGAACAGTTTTTATTAGCCACTATTTTTCAGTTAGTTATCTATTGATTAGCTTTGAATAATGCAATTTGCAGTACAGTCATGAGTAAATATTTTTGACGCAGGTTGAAATTTATAATTACACTTTTGGATGGGATTTTGATTCTTCGATCTTTACAACAACACGTTCTGGGAAAATGATTTATTCACTCGCACTCATTGGTATAGCAACACTGTAAACTTGATACGCAATTTATTATGTAAGTTATACATAAATACGTTTTTACTTAAACATTTATTTATTTTTTTGTCATTTATATAATTATTATTACAAATACTGAACATTCGAATAATATGAAGTATCGTTGTATTACGTTCTCATATTTCATATATATTATAGTAATCCAGGTTGCATATAATAACGTTCTGAACGACTAAATGCAAATGATTTTATTCGCATGTACGTATTTGTGTTTGTTTAAACAAATACGCATACACATAACATTATTAATGTGTATTATATATTTCAATGGCTTATTCGACTCGCATCGGTTTCATATACGATCACGGGCACATCGCACAACACGGCGCAGCGCCTTTGTTCCTTACCGTCGGTACGGATGTATAGTTTGTCACTTACTGCAGCACATACTATTAAGTATTATGTTACCAGTATCGAAAATTTACAGTCAAAAAACGCGCGGTAAAGGCCACCGGAAATGCAAGCACGTTTTATTTCGACAGCCGTAAACATTTGATGTGTGAGAAACACACGGTACGGTTTGACGGTTAAAAATATTGTGTTGCCCGTGCAGTGTAATTAATTTGCGAGGTGTACGCGTGAATAGTTTTGTATGCTTACGTATTGTACCTACGCGACTATCGCAAAGCGTAACGTTCGGATTTGTTCACACGTTGCTCGCACGATATGTATCATTCGCACAAATAAATGAATATAAACCGGATGTACACTGTTCAGTGAGCACTGTTTTCGATCGATTTGCTCAGCTCGTTTTGGAACGATTGTGTTTGAGATATCGATGCTAAATAAATTAAAAGCAGTCATCGCCGTGTTTGTAAACGGATACGACGAGTGCGGGGGCTTGTTAAATATCGGCACTTGTTATGGCATTTCGTCGGAATTGTCTGTACACACACGAACGATGTCTGTAGAACTCAAACGAAATTTAATAAATTCCTTTTTGGAAGCTTGATTTCTGGTATGCACATCTACGAGTATATATAGTATTGTGTTATATCATAATGATTTTCGAACAATCCTTCAATGTTCTGATTGAAAGTATGTATTTGTAGTACAATTATAATGTAAAAAAACATCAATGAAAAACCCTTAAAAAAAATTATATTTTTACTTTGAAACTACAAAATAAATAAATACGCGTAAAACAGGTAGTCATAATTTTGTTAACTCGTAAAATAAATAAAATCATTAGCTGGGAGCGTGTGGCCCGTAGAGCAGATAAGTAAAACCCTAATATATTATAGCAATTTTAGCGGTATATATAAAACTCGTACATATTATATGTAATTTTAATCGAAATGCCACGCTAAAAC